CAATTTTTTGAGTTAATTTAAACTTTTAACGACTTTTGTTCCTCTTTCAGCACGGGTTGGCTGGAAGAGATCGCTTGTGACCGATAAAGCCGCCTGTTGCACTCAACCTTTAGATTTTTTGTTTTATTTTTATTGTTTTTTTTTGTGTGAAAAAAAGTATGAAATTTATAATGTATAGTCGAAAAAAAGAAATTGTCATATCAGTTCCTACAGGCTCTACGCTATTGCTTGAAATTTGTTAAGAGCATAATATCTTAATCAAACCTAATGATTATAATATTTTTCTTTTATATATAGATACAATTTGACTGACCTGTCCTTGTGGAGTGAACGATTCACTGAGATATTGTCGCACCTGACTCTTCTGTTTCTGGATCACGTGATACCTGGTGGGGTTCTCCAGAACTGTCCGCACCTGGAGAAACACAAAATAAATTTAACAAGATATCCTATAAGTAGGTGATGCATCCTGAAGTTTAAAATAATATTTCGAATGTATTCACCTGCAACACCTGTGGCGGCAATTCCACGTGTGGCGTGATCCTCGGCACCTCCGTTGGGCTTGACTTCTTCTTCTCCTCTCCATCATCCTTTGATTGACCTGCTTGCTGCGCCTGGAATTCAATAATTTTTTTCATGATCAAATTTTTCGATGGTTTTGTCTTTTTGCGAAATAAAAGACGTCTTACCAAACAATGATAGTAAAAAACTATCACCACTTCCGTCAGTAAGGATCATAAAAAAAAGGAACTTCATACGTAACTTCTAAGAAGTAATTACTGGCAATATAATTATTTCCTGTCAAGTAGACAATTAAAAAACATCCTACTTCTATCGCACTTCACACTGAAACAATTTTAAAATTTACGTATTAAAATAGTATTTACACGATCTCCCAGTTTTTATTCAAAATTGTCAAAAGGGTCATATAACCTTTACCTAATATAAAAAAAATCGTTGATATTTTGGAGAAGTAACACGAATATTTTTCCCTTAAAATATACTGTTAGTAGTGTCATTGGACACTTTATTATGTTACATATCCTTTTTAGTAAATTAGGTTAGACTTAAATTACTTATTGGTCTTAAGTTAGGCTAAATGGTAATGATGAAATGTGTCTTTGTGCAGAGACAATTTAATAAAAAAATTGTCTCAAATTGCTATTGACTATTTCGTCTCTTAATTTTGATAGTAAACGTGAAAACTAGTATTCAACTGTTCAAGGCTTATGATATATAAACTATATAATCCTAGTGATAAGATAATTAAAGTTTAGGCGTATTTAAAGTAGGTTTGTATATGTTATTACCTGTAATGATTCTCTGCGTAGTTGCTCCTGCGCATGCTCTCGCATCAACTGTTGCTTGAGCTGCGTGCGCGATGTCGGCGTTAATGTTTTGAACGTAGGCGGGCTGAAACAAGACGTACCTTGTTAGAGAACAAAACTTACTAAATAGAAATATACGAAAAGAATTTAAAACCTGACCAGCATAAAATGTGAAGATAAAAGTTTGTACTTAAAAGCAACAAAAATGTTTTCTTTAAGAATAATAACACATTCTTTATTTGCTATGAAAGAAGATACACAAAAGAAATGCACAGTCAGCTAAGTCAAGTCGGCATGCAAATCTCAGTATGTCAAATCATAACCTAATAACTCCCCTTACTATAGAAGCATTGAACTTTATTTTGCATATTCCAGCAGTCTTCTGACAACAATTATAATTATATGGGGACGTGAGTGCTTTTTTTCTTGAGGGTCTCAACGACCACTGACGATACACCGACTGTACACTGTGCAGGTTTAAATCAACCATTCAAAAATATAATATCTGTGCGACTCTCATGGGTACGACCCCAGGTACGATCCCCGGCTGTGCACCAATTTACTTCCAGTCTATGTGCGCATTTAACATTCGCTCGAATAGTGTAGAAAAATATCGTGAGGAAACCGGCTTGCATCAGACCCAAAAAGCCGACGGCGTGTGTCAGTCACAGGAGGCTCATCACCTACTTGCCTTGATTGATAAATGATAATGAAACAGAGACTAGCACCATTGATTTATATTTTTATATGTAACTAGCTGACCCGACAAACGTTGTTTTGCCATGTATAATATTTCTAAGATACATTGTTTTAGTTAAATAAAAATAACTATCTACAATAATAAAAAATAGGAGTTAATCGTAGAGGGGTGAAAATTAGGGGTTGTATGTATTTTTTTACACTGTATCATATAAAAAAATTGGGGTGGACACCACTTATCACTTTTCTTTCTGAATATGCATTCTCATACTTACTGAATATGCATAAAAAAATTCATAGGAATCGGTGGACCCGTTTCGGAGGAGTAAGGGAACGAATTTTATATATATAAAGATAATGCTTACATATTTAATTTACTTTCAGTGTATTTTTTGTAAATGAATAGGCAGAAAGATTGGAGCCTGATAGGCCCGGTAAGTGGTCGGTTCAATAAGCGTACTTTATAAATGAATTATACATAAATGTATTATTACTATTTTATTACTTTAACTATTCCTTTGTTTGTGTTAAAGGCGTTAAATACTAAATACCAGCGATCGATAAACATTTTACTTACGTACTACGTACGTACGTTGGTACGTATGTAAAATGTTGTTCATACAAAATCGATCGTCATTACCACACTTGGGCACACCATAATGCCGAGAACGTCATCGTTGCAAATATTCAAAGATATTTATCGAAATTGGGTACAAAAACTTAATGGGCAGATAGATAGATATTTGCTATCGTTAATTTCTCTAAGAATCCCTCCAAAAATGGACGCTACGAACACGAATTATATGGTTAATTCGCCAATGTTACAAGTTTTAGCTAATTATGAAGATGTTGATGTTTTCCACCTCACTAAAGAGGATGTAAGGAAATATTTGAAGAGGCGGGAAGACTTTGAGTTTGTTCAGCATTAACAATTTAGTTTTTTACGGATGAAACGCAATAATAATAATATTAGCGTCACGAAGATGTGCAGCGTTTTTGTCCAAGAAAAGGGAGAGAGCGATTAGGACCGATTGAGAGAGAGTGATAAGGGCGAATTACCTTGTAGAAATTATTTTTTAAAATTAAAATTTCGTAAAGAGAATATATGAAATTAGTATTTTATATTTTATGCAAAATAATTAATTGAAATCTCAAATGACGAATTGTAAATTACAATGCCACGTGTTTTTATTATCGAAGAAATAAATTAAAAAATTAAATGTATTAATTTCGACACTTTTAATATTTTAATGACGATTAAATTCCTAACATATCTTCCTTTTTCCCTCCCTCTAAGTCTCAGGAATCAAAAGTTTTAGATTTGTATAAATATGAACAAGACTTAAAAATAAGTTTGCCAAAGAATCTACACTTTTGATATGTGTACTTTGTACGCACGCACTTTAATGTACTTACTTATGTTTTCTGTTTCATATTATATTGTTTATCTATTTAATCTGTTTTGGCTTTGTATATTATCTAAGTGTTATGTTTCATTATATGTATGTAAGCTGTATGATTGCCAATGAATAAATAAATACTCAATATTAAAGTGTGGATCGTGACAAATAGGTTTGGACTGAATAGACTGAGCGGAGCCTGCGAGCAGCACCTATTTTTTTGCTTATTATGATAAAATTTCAGTGTTATACAATATACTATATGTGTTTTTAAAAATTATTTACGCATTAAGATATAATTTATATTTATACAACTAATCTTTATGGATTACATAAGATTTGTGGCATTATTTGATGATATTTGATAATTTTAATCTTTTTTTAATAACATACTTTTGACTTATCGTCTGTATGTAGGTATAATTACTTTACTATTAGCCCATTAATGAACAAAAATTGTTTTTCTTGTGTCTTCCTCTTACTGTTACATTTATCACGCTTCCACTGCAATGTCGAACTCAAAGCACTCTTAAGTCAACCTTCTACAGTTCGGAACTGGGTGAGCAATATCCACGTAAGACCCGTACCGACATTAAAAGACTTTTTGTAAAGACACCTAGGAGAAGAATAACATTTAAGGGTGTAAGATTCAGAAACGGCCTCCCACTAGATGGACAGATGACCTGGTGAGGGTGGAGGGAATGCGATGGATGCAAAGCGCTGGGAACAGGCCGTAATGGAAATCCTGCCCTTCAGGCGATTGGCAAACCCACCACGGCCCAAGCCGAGGTTCGAATCTCGCAGGAGACACCCTTGTGCTAGTCGCGGAAAAAAAGCCCAGTCCCGCCGAGCTACGCTCGCCAAAACAGCACGAGCACTGTTTAGGCCTGCAAATGTCCAGCAGTGGACGTTAACACGCTGAAACGAACGAAGACTCCGTGAAAATATAATGCATTTTGACGTATGAGAGTCAATCTTAGCGTAAAGTCCGATTTTTGAAGCTCGTTCTAACTTGCAGTCAACCCTCGGCTAACAGGAGACTTAAAATTAAATTCTTTCACACACATTTAATTCACACAAACACTCATTCTTTAGTTTTATTTTGTTTATTACTTTAGTTTTGTCAGAGTATGTAGTATTCTCTTTTTATATTTTCTGCCCGTGATGGAAGGCTGGTGACCAAAGGAATTATATAGTCCTATTATAGGCACCACCCCCTCACAAAGATGGTCAATACCCAAAGAAGTTCGTTGCATCATGTAAACCCGTAAAATGCAATATTGTAACAAGGCAAATACACTTTATTATTATACAACAGTAAAAAATATCTGCTAATTTTAAGTCCGTGTTTTTAAATTGGTATGTTGTGAGCATTCGGCATAAATTCGGTACTTTCTTCATCCTTAAACCAATGCCAACACATTGATATTCAAGTCGCTGAACGAATTTGACAATAGCTGCGCACCCATCTATTTAAAACTTCGTTATACGGATAATAAATTTGATGTTAAAATTATTACATTAATGCACTGCATTAGTTTTAATTATAACACCATGCGCCTATTTTATTTTAATATATCCGCGCGTAAGTTTTTTCTTAGTTCGTTTTAAAGGTTTGGATACGGTCTTAATTGTAACTGGCGGTTACAAAATATTGTAAAAAGGTACTTTTAAAACGTTGAACCATTGGATTATTATACTTACAGCAAATATCTTTCCTAAGTAAATATGCTTCGTTTGCGGAGGTTTGAAATATCTTTGCTGTACACCCCCCCCAATTTTTCCCGCCCCCCGTCCCGAACCCCCCCCCCCCCCCCCCCCCCCCCCCCCCCCCCCCCCCCCCGGGGGAAAAAAAGCGAATATGCGCGGGCGGGGGCGGGGGCGGGGGGGGGTTTTGGGCGGGGGGGGGGCGGGGGGCGGGCCCCCCCGCCGGTGGGTGCGGCGGGTTGGGGGCCTCCGCGGGGGAGCTCCCCCCTTTCCCCCCCCCCCCCTTTCTTCCCCCCGTTTCTGCGGGGGGCGCTCCGCCGTGCGTTTCCGGGGGGGTTTGCTCGGGGCCCGCGGGGGGGGGGTTTGGGTTTTTTTTGTTTTTGGTTTTGTGCCCCCTGCGACCCGTGCCCCCCCCCCGCCCCCCCCGCCCCCGCCGTTCCCGGCCTTTTTCCGAGTTTATCCTCTTTTTGGACTTGTTTGTGGTGGGGGCGCCCAAATGAGGGTACTTCCCGCCGGGGGTTTGCTTGCCGGGGTGGGTTGGGGGTCTTTGGGGGGGTTTTTTTTTCCTTGGTTTTGGGTGGGGGGGGGGGGGGTCGTCGTGTGGCGTATATATCAAAGATACATTTAAATACTGTACTAGCTGTGGACACAGGTATTGTTTTCTTAAAAGGGTTTGAAAATCTTAAAAAAAACAACAAAACATTTCTACCGTTTAAAAAATCGTCATAACAATTATTTCGTGTCAACCATAATTAGTATGACAATTTTAAAATGACGCTATCACTGATGTAATACTCTAATAATTTGTACAATGTATGCCAAATCAATCAAGTTCCTCTTGTCAATATACGTGTTGATTTATATTTATTAATGTCGGCCGTGAGTGCGTGACCAATGCAAATTCGTTTCAATTCTAACCATATAATGTTAAAGTTATTTAATATTAGTTCTTGCTACAGTTGTGTTACACAGTTTATACGGATAGTTTAAAGGTTTGTTAAAGTACTTATTTTCATTCTTAAACTAGACATTTTACGCATGTTTCAGTACGGTTAATGCTAAGATTTTGTACTAATCATTCGCTTTTTGGTTTTTAAACGAATCGTTATTGTTCTTCCAATTGGTGCATGTTTAAGCCGTTATTGGTGTATTTGAAGAATATTTTCAGGCTTTTTAATATTGTCTAATATCCACGAAGTTTTCTGATACGATTCGAACTAGAGTTCTTTTAATTTTTACGTTTAAGTTTAATTTTACAGTCTCTCCCCCTTATTCATACAAAAATCAGTATAACATTACCATTCATACTCATCACACCGTCACATCAACAGAAAGAGATGATGAAGATTCTAGTTTTATGCTGACGTAATGACGTAACGAAAGGGAATGCTTAGGTGTAGGACGGATAAATGAGAAGCAGTTAACAAGAAGGATATACAAGGCAACTGTGGATGGTGAAGTTGGGTTTGGTTGGGTAGGCCTTGTTTACATGGTTGGACCAAATCCAGGAGGTTTTAGAGGAAGGACAAGATAAAGGTACCCATAACCGAGCATGCATGAAAGTGAATGAAGCGAGAGAGGTAAGTCAGTACCGTAGCAAGTGGCGATCAATCAAAAGGCGTGATGATATAAATAAAATAAAATCGTTTTTATGGATAACATATGTATCTTATTACTGAATTTTGGAAGTTGAAATATGTACTTTTGGGATTAAATTACCCGTTAAAAAAGGGTAGCTTTAGAATACTAATTCACAATTATTCTCTGTCTGGCTAATTTTAGCGCAATAAAATTCTAATTAGCAGTCAAGGTTTGCGTGCATGTTTATTTGTCGAAAGGGATACGTTGTTAAAAGTTTTTATGACTTCCCAATTTGGTAAATTTTATTCATAGACATCAACAATACACCGTCGCAAACTTATATAATACTAGCTGAATCGGCAAACGTTTGTTTTGCCATTTCATTTCATAAATTCTCTTTACGAAATTTTAATTTTTAAAATTGAATTTCTATAAGGTAATCCACCCTTCTCAATCTCTCTCAATCGGTCTCAATCGCTCTCTCTCTTTTCACAAAACGCTGCACATCTTCGTGACGCTCCTTAAAAAATCATACGCCTAAAGAAGTTTCACTTCAAAAACATTAAATTTTTGAGGCCGGATAGCATTAGATAATGATGACTATGACGAACAATATCTAGGGCGGTTTATCAGTCTTTATCATCAGTTCGATGATTGATGACTTCTGCTGTTTGCACAGTTCAGACGGCATCGGAGTTCCATGTTCAAGATGTTATTCAAATGCATATTAGAAATGGAGGTGGAATTTCGTATTCTGACTCGACGTCGGATGAAACTAAGAAAAATAAGAAAACTATCATTTTGTTTATTTCAATGTCTCTTATTGTGATTAACAGTACAATTTTCGCAAGTGTATTACGATTCTGCACGAACGCATGCTACGTGCCCGAAATATATATTATTTACGAAACGTAAGGGTCAATGTAGTAATTCGTAATCGAAATGTCACTTTATTAGTGTCGTTTAACACATTTGTTTTACTATGAT